ATTCCTAGAGAGTGAGAGGCTGTTTGTGCACACAGAAGCCCACTTAGCAGAGTGATGCTTTCCTATCAAGCCTCCAGCTTCCAAAAGGACATCTTGATTTATTACCTTTACTGCTTTTGTGGACTTTAGCTGTAAGTATATACGTAAAAAAAAAAGTGTACACATATATCCTTGGAGCCATGAGCATTAGATTTTTACGTTTCTCACAAGCAGCATAAAGACTCACAAACAACTGAATCGACCTTTCCAACAACTCTGAGTTATGGAAATTTGGCTGTTGGCATTTCTGCTGTGTCCACATGAATTTTGCCAATAACTGCAAAATGCAGAGGGCAGACGAAATCCATTTGATGCAACATACTAAAATCTGAGGTCTTTGATTAATACATATTATTAATGGGGTACACACACAGAAGGGGTCATGTATTTTTAATATCTGAGATGGGGCACTTCATGCACTTTAAGCCCCTTGAGTCCCTCATCTAAACATACAGTCCTTGAAGCGTGGGGTTGAAAACAGGATCTATAAAACTGCAGCGGTGAGAATTTAATGTGTCCCAGAGGATCGTTAGAGACCGGGCAAACTTGTCCAGACTCTTGTCTTGAGGGTCTAGTGGTGAATGATCTGCATTCAGGGTTAAAATGCAAGGACAGAAAATGAAATGAATATATATATATATATATATATATATATATATATATATATATATATATATATATATATATATATATTAGTATGCATTTTTAGAAAATACTGCAACAGTATGATTTGGCTGTACCATCTGTTATAAAACGAATTCAGTCAAATGTAATGTAATGTTTTGATAGCTTGTACATATTATATATAAGAACAGTCATTTGTCTTTATGTGTAACTGTTTTATCTTATTTGTATCTTGTACGTTTAATCTTATCTTTCATTTTTGTTATGTGTCTGTTGCTGCTGCCTCTTGGCCAGATCGTCATAAGTGAGAATGAGTTTTCAATTCTACTCATCTGGTTAAATAAATAGAACAAATAAATCCAGAAAAACAAGAACCAAAACCAGGGATACTCCTTCCATGCATCAAAGGCATAACAGAAAAAATAGTAGCAACAATGAAAAAGACAACATCAACACACCAACAAAACCATAAATTACAGCTAAAAAAAGACTAGTACATTCAAAAGACAAGAAATCAGTGGTACAAAAATGTGGAGTCATATACAAAATCTCATGCAAACAACAAAATAAACAATAAAACATGCACAGGAGAAACCAGGCGCCAACTCAACACACAAACAGAACATAGTAAAGAGTGTGAGAAAGAAACAAGTCGAAGACACACAAGAGCAGCGAAACAAGAAGCAGAAAGTACAAATAAAGAAATCAGCGGTAACAGGTCACTGCACAAAGAAAACCATGTAATGGACTTGGACAGAATCATTAACATAAATCATTAACAAGAGTAGAATTGAAAACTCATTCTCACTTAAACACCAAACAACTCAACTACAAAAGGTGGATTAAGTAAGCCATAGAAATAAGGAGACGTGGACACGGAACCACGACCAGAAACAATGTAGTCTACAAGTTAGATCGCGCATGGGACTGTGTCGTTGACAAGGAGGCCGCGGGCAGCAAAGGGCGACACCGTCCCGTGCTGCCCGCAAATAAACGGTGAAGGAAGTGACACCACCAACAGCATCACAGCTCTGAGGATGGCTACAGGAAGTAGCTGAAACATTGGCAAACAAGGTAAAGAACAACTTTTCTGTGTAGAACCAAGAAATACAAGTTGAACAGATACACAGAATGAACATGGAGAAGATGTGTGAAGAGAAAGAAGGACACGTTCATACTCATATGTGGTAGTGCCAGTGCCAAGGGCATTGTTTATTCATGCACTCTGGAGTCCTGTCCTGTAATGTCGTGGCAGCTCGATACATCAATTTCCAAGCAGAGACACATTCGCAAATTCCCTCCACCAAACAAAAGATGAGGAAGGTTATCTGAAGGATGTGGCTGCATGTCCTCTATGAGCTGTTTCCCCTGAGCCTTTCTAGAGCTTCCCCTCATTTTTAATGGTTTACAACACCTTAGAGCTGAGTCACAAACCTCTACTCATTAATCCTACAGCAAGGACTCAAGGGCTCCTAACACGCTGTTTAAGCACATGTGAAACAAAGTAGGGGAACATGTGGAAGTTGTTCTATTAGTATTATTTAAGAATGTGTGCATGCATGTGTGTCCCACAAAACTAAACAATCAATGATGAACAAGAGTCTGCTTCTAGACCTGCAGAAAAGGGACACACAACAGTGCAACAGGAGCAAGCTATCACTGCGTCAACTTGGTGAAGAAATGTAAAATCAACATTGTTTTACTGAACAATAACATGATAATAAGTCACAGTGCATTTAGTGCCAACCACAGCCTTAAGACGTGTTGAACGTGCCCAAGTCCATACTTATGTGAACACCTGTGTGTGTACATGTGCTTGTATGTGTAAGGTTTCTCTATAGGAGCATCCAATAGAGAGTGTGAGTGGCCACAGATCTGCCCCCCAAAGATGTGTAGGAGATGGAGGGAGCTCCAAGTCCCAGAGATCCAGGAGCTGCCCCAGAGCACAGGGACCCCAAGGAGACCGCGACCAGAAAAGCCCCTGTCCCCCTTGAGAGGTGCAGAGGATTGCCTCGGGGGGCCACAACCAGCAGCCGGCAGAGTCCCGGGAGGTATCAGCAGCAAGCCCAAAGGCCCGCCTGCAGCCTCCCCCTCCCCAGCCGACTGAGCCCGGGACCCAGCAACCCGGGACCCAGGGACGACCACCCTGCCGGGGACCCAGCAGAGCCCATGGACCCAGATCCCACCAGGCAGCCACCGGGATTGATCAGACAGACGCCAAAAATCTTAAACCCCCGACCCGGGAGCCACGAACACTCAGGCAGACCAAGGCACCACATTCCACACCAGGAGTGGCAGGGGGAGGGGAGATGAACATGTATAGCATCAAAAGAAGTCCCAGGAGAAGGGAGGAGTCAAAGGCCCCACCTGACATATACAGTCATACACAGACACAGTCACACACTCCCTCCCTCATGCTCACAAATACACATACAACCAAAGACTTACAAAAATGCACGCCGGACACCCACTCATGCTCCCCATACACACCCTATTCACTCTGGTCCCTGTACTGCTGCACATGGGGTACAACCATTACTGGTTCCCAGAGTTCGACCCTTTCTGCTGGGGTGCTGATGAGCAGGCTCCCCCGCTCAACGCTGAGCAAAGCAACCCACCACCCCAGACCTCAACCAGACGGCCAGATCTCCCTCCTAGCCTCCAGACCCGGGAAGCCAAGTGACAACAGAGGTGGTCTACCTCCGCCTGCTCCAATATGGTGTTAGTGTACAGTATGTTGATGAGGTGTATTCCATGGCTGTGGTGAGAAGGCAGTGTGGGCATCGTCTGGCCTATGCCAGCTGATGCCACCACACCACCCCATTTGCACCCACAGCCCTCAGTGTCTAAGTGCAGTTTAAAATTGGAAGTGGGCACCGGCACTTGGGATGAGGCTGAAATGCCAAATGCCGTTGAATGTGCTCACTTCCAAGGCCCTAAATGTGTGTTTGCGTGGAATGTCATTGGTGGAAGTGTTTAAGGTGCAAATAAAATTGGGGGGCAGGTTGCCACAGGAATGCAGGAATGGGGTCCATACCCACATCCCCTGACTTGTCCATCCCCCAAAGTCCTATGTGCATGATTGTGTGATGAAGTGAGGGAGCAGGAGGAGAAAAATGTGTGGGGATGGGGAGGAATGGCTGGTTGGACATAGGCCCTCTAGGGAGCTAGCTCCCCCACTGGTCCAATAGGCACCTCTGTTGCCAAAATGCCACCCAGGGCATGGAGACCCCAGCCCATCTTGCCAGGGCCCAACGCAGCAGCATCACAGAGCCTCACAGAGTCCGAGCGCACCACCCCAGCAGAATATCTACTTCCATCCCTGCATTTGTTCAACTTCCAGAATATATAAGACATAGGACATCCAGGTAAGGTTGGGTCCTCCCCCTCCTGGACATCCCCCTCCCCAACGATGGAACAGCAGAGGAGCCAAGGTCTACCCGAGGCCCCTGAGCCTGGGCCAGGCACTGCAGCATATTTTCCATTTTCTGATGGAAAGTGATGCACGCTTGCTCTGCATGAAGATTGCCGTAAAGACACTGACACCAGTCAGTGACTCGATGCAACCTGCTGGGTTCCTTAAATAGGAAACGTTTTACTGATTGGCTTAATGTGCTATATAAATAAATTCAATTGAATTATATGTAAAGCATTATATGTTATATAAAGACTGTTTAAACTACTGCAACTCACTTTTCACGTGTCTGAGCAGAACCTCCCTGAACCGTCTACAGGTGGTTCAGAATGCCTGTGCTCGGCTTCTGACCAAGTCCTCCAAACACACCCACATCACCCCGCTTCTCCTCCAGCTTCACTGGCTACCAGTCAACGGGTTCTTGTTTTTATGGCCTTACATGGACAAGCACCATCTTACATTGGTGATCTTCTCAGTCAACTGAAAACTCAGCTGTTCAAGCTGGCTTTTGCCTGATCTTTGTCATCACCCTTTCCTTATTCTGCTCTAATTCCACCTTTTCCAGGATCCACTGATTTCCCTCTTTCCTATTATTTTCTCTCTCCCTTTCCGTATATTTTTATTCACTATTTATTTCTCATTTAAAAACTATTTTTAATATTTAATTAAATATTTTTTTTCTTGAGAGGCTTTACGTAAAAGATCATTTTCTTTCTTGATTTTCTTTCATAACAATGATCTTATTTTGAAGAAGCTCCACTTGAATTAGCTGTTAGCTTGTCAATCTGGTAAAAACTAAGCTCTGTTTCTGCAAACTGAAGCAGGCTGAAGAGCAAATAACAGCATGTAATTTATATGGGTTTGACTTTAAATGATCCAAACCATTTGTTTGTGAGTTTCTGTGTTTGGGGACAATGCTAACCTGTGATCCTCGGGGGCCTCTCTTGTGTTCCCAGTCTGAGCGAGAAAGCATCTGAAGGGAAACAAAGACAAACACATGTTCAAACCACACCTCTATGTTACAATTGTGGCCCTAATGATGTAGATAAACTTCTAGGGCAGAAATAATGAGCGCTAATGGTTATGCACAAAATGTAAAATCAAATAAAAAAGTAGAGGGTGTGGGGTGATGGAAATGCTCAGTAAGCAAAACAAAGTTGTTTTTCAAAACTTTCCATTAAGCACACATATCTAATGTAATTTCACAGTCAAGTCTGGTTTACTTTAGCTCATATTTACTGCCTCGGGGGCAAGTGGAGGCTGCAGATATTTTTGTTTTGTCTAATTACCAGCCACTGTGTCCTCCCACAGGCCTCGTAAACCCGTTTTCGACTTTATTCGGATTCTGCACATGCATGAGAACAGATCTACCACTGGTTTTCTTTTTTTTCCTCATCAAGACGTTAAGAAGAAATGTTTCCTGGCTTCTGTGTGGCTTCTCTGCACTATAATGAGGGGAAAAGCCAGCATGCTCAGGAGAAAGCAGTCTGACAATTCAGGTGTAATTTACTATGTTAGTGGTCATTGAGTTGTGTCTTAACGTGTGTGAAAACAGCTGCAATCTGTGCAGCAGACAGTGCTCATTTCGCCGGTGTTTCCTCACAGCTCAGCCAAAGAAATAAAATTAATTAGTTCCTTTGTCCTTATTTGTTCATTATAAGCTTCATCAATTTAAATTGAATTCAATGACGAAAATCTGTGACAAACTTTCTTAGTAGGAAGTTTAATAATGAACTGCGATAATGTCCTAAATTAATTAGATGAGTCGAAAAGCTCCTTAAAAAATTGCCTAATCATGAAAGAACATTTATGTTTAACTTATGGTTAATAATGACAAACAAGTTATTTAACTAATTTCTGACAAGTAGCCATTCATGAACTTTTCTGTTACCAAATAATGTACTAATGGTTAAGTAATCAGGTGATTTCTCATTTGGTGTAAAATGATAGAAAGATGTTCATCAAAGCCGCAAAACAAATTTGGAACATTTGCTAAAAAATGTTTTCTTAACAATGTTCTAGCATAATATAGCTATAACTATACTGTGGAGATTAAAACAAAAACTAAATCAATTATTTGACCGGTAGTTCTGAAGTTGCAAAGGGACTTTATGGGGTGGCCTTTCATTAAACCTGCAATACAGGGGTTTTCAGTTGTGGGCCTGGAGGGCCGGTATCCAGCACGTTTTAGTTTTAACTCTTGTTACAGCACACCTGATTCAATCAGCAGGAAATTAAGATGCTTCTGCAGAGCCTGATGAGCTGCTGCACAGGTGATTCAACCACTGAATCAAGTGTGTTGGAGCAAATAAACCACTAAAACGTGCTGGATACCAGGCCTCCAGAACCGGAATTGAATGCCTTGGCTGGAAAGGGTCATTTTAACACATACTGGCTCAACACAATTACTTAAAAATATGAAAAAGTCGCAAAGTACCCATTTAAAAATGTAAATTGAAAAAAAAGATGGGATGACATAAAACAGATAAAAAACACCAGAAAACCAGAAAAACAAAATCAAGTTGCTGTCTGGGCCTCAAACACTCCACTTGTATCATATTTAAGTATTAAAGACAACAAGTTCAAATCCCATCAGTTGAAATTTCTCATTTTTTCTCAAATGTATTGTAGTCTAACAAATTATACAGCTAAACTCAAGGGCAAAAAGTCTTTACGTGAGAAATAACCACATCACTTTCAAACATGAAAGGAGAAGAGAACTTGAGAGGACTCCTAAGGTGTTTGTTCTATGAAAGGTGCAGGTTTGAAGGGCAGCTACAATACGGAACTATTGAATGAATTCTGATTATTAAAAGCTCTTTTGGCATGTTCAGTTCAGTTTATCTGATCTATGGACATCTTCAGCCCTTTTTAAAAGACATCGTTCCGGCAAATCACCGTAATATAATGCAATGGTGTGTCTTATAAATGCCTTATAAATGCATCATGCCGCTGTCGGTGCAAGACCGGCTCGGGTGCAAGATCGGCTCGGGGTCCGTTGACTGCCGATAACGTCAAAGTAGTTGATTGGCTGAACATGAACCTTACGGAATTACATAATCATGTTACGTTGGTCCAGGCAAATTTTTCTGTTGGAAAGATGGACAACTTTTACAAAGAAATCCATCATTACCTCTTTGAAAATACACTTTTAGCATAGAGCTGCATGTATATTAGGGCGGAACGATTAACTGCATGTGCAATTAAATTGCGATGTGACAAAAGGAGATTTTCTAATCGCAAAGGCTGCAGTTTGGCAGCGAGTGGTTAGCGCAATGCTATTAAACATGGAAAAACCCATAGGAATGCTAATGCTAATATCACCGATTACACTCTTACTAATTATGAATTAGAAACGTGCTAAATGATTACATTTGGAGTCTAATAGAAAGTAAAACTACCATCAGTCAAATAAGTACAGACAGGTATTTTAGTAAAGCCAGAAAACTTTAAACTCCAGAGTTTTGGCAAGCAGCTATGAGCGTAACTGAACTATGCATGGACAAGATGTCAATAACTAAACACAAAATACTTCAATAAACGGGACACACTTCTTTCCTGCAAATACAATTTCACAGGTGTTGCTAATACCTATGATCCTTCAAGGGATGTGCTCAAAGAGGAGTTCAACATTATGAATACAATATAGTGTTTTCATTTACAAATACCATTATAAACACAAACTTACGTCGTAAGAAACATTATTTTAACAACGAAACTGCTAAAATCTTTCCAACAGTATAGATGTGTAGTGTATTTTGTCCGAGTGGGTTTGCCGTATTTTGATGTCATCGGCAGTCGAAGGACCCCGAGCCGATCTTGCACCCGAGCAGATCCTGTACCGACACCGCAATGACGGTGCTCAAATTTTTCTCCCATCAGCCCGAGCAGGCCAGGTAGCATCCACGTCATCACGCTTCTATATAAAGAAGTCAGCTCATCCACTTCCTCTTCGGTCATCGATTCATTCAGTCTATGCTGAGAGTTCTGAGCCCAATTGCTCAGCCAGCCTTCGTTCATCTGACCAGTAAGCCAGCTGTTTGCTCCTTGTGAAACGCCTCTACGCTCCCATTTCCCTTCGAGAAATGTACCAGCGTTCCTAGATTAACTGCGTGTCTGCAGCTCCCAGAGCTCGTTCCAACGTGTTTGGGTCTCATCAGCTCGTCACAAACAACCTCGCTGATCAGTCTCAGTCCACATCCAGATCACTCCTAACACCTTTGTCTATACGGTCAAAGTTTTGGCGACAGTAATGCGGCACCTAATGTTGTGAGCATGATGGTAACCAAATGACGTGAGTCCCATCCCCCATTTACAAAAGAAATAACATTATTTTAAATAAATGCATTAATTAATTAATTAATTAATTAATTAATTAATTAATTAAATGATATATTAGCTCCCTAATAATATGAGCAACAGCCTTCCCATAGTTTACCATTTAGGAAGTGCTTTTTCTATAAACACCTTTATGCTATTGTGCTGATTCTTGCCATGAGACCACATGTATTTAGAGCCTAGATTCTCTGATTAAGCAAGATAAAATGTATGAATGACGTTAAAAGGTCCTTGAGACATGTGTGGCTCTTAAAAAGGCATACCAGCTATAAAAACAGAAATGACTCAGCAATCAGCAGTGGAATAAATGCACATGAGATGTAAATGATGATGTTAGCCCATCAGTGCTGGTTGTTCTCCATTGCTCTGATGACATGGTTCTAGATTTACAGAGATCCTTCACAGCAAAAGCATCAAAAGTCCTGCTCCATTAGAGGGGCCTATATCAGTGAGGCCCTGCAGGCGCTCACACATAAACAGCCTTTCAGTTTTCTGATGATCTTATGTAACTCAACCTTTCATCTAGATGCTCTGAAAGACAGACGCTGAAGTCGCAAAGCCTTCTTTCATGTGCTGAAAAAACCCAATATCAAAGCTGAGCACAAACTTGGAGCAGTGCAGATACGCCCCCTACGAGGAGCGAGTTTAATGGGTTTCCATTAGCTCAATCGTGTGTGTAGAGTCTACACACACTGTAGACAAACAACACAAGGGTTTGCATCATCTGTTTGTCACTGTTCATCTGCTACAACTGTATTAATATAAAAGACAAACAAAATGTCTCATTATAGATGGGAAGAGCAGAGTTTATACCTAGATGATCCAACAGGTCACCACCACTGCTGCCTCTGAGAGATAGAACCACACATGAATGATTTCTTAGATCTCCCCAGGTTTATCACGGGGGCCCTCCAGGCACTACGACACAGGTGAAGCCGTAAACCTTCTAAATGTATTTGTTTTTGTCCTACAGCTACTAGGAATAAAAATAACAATTGTATAGAAGTTATGCCCTTTGTTTCACCCTCTGCTTCATTTATTATGGTGTTTCATAACTTAGACCGAGCCAAGTCTAACGGTTTTCCATCACATTCAGCAACACTCGAGATGTACGGCTGACACGACCCAAGAACCAATTAATAAATAAATAATAATAAAACTGTGTATGTATTCTATGTGTTCATGCCACAGCTACATAAGATGACACACTCAGGATGTGAGGCAGTTTTAGAAACTCATGAAGCATAACGGTGTTGTTCTTATTAGGAAATAAACCAAAACTAAGCTTTTACATAACCAAAATATAAATATATCAATAGTGTTTTACTTTAGCTGCAAATTACAAATGAAAGAATCCTTGTTAGAGTAAATACACTAAACAAAAATATACAGGGAGTGCAGAATTATTAGGCAAATGAGTATTTTGTCCACATCATCCTCTTCATGCATGCTGTCTTACTCCAAGCTGTTTAGGCTCGAAAGCCTACTACCAATAAGCATATTAGGTGATGTGCATCTCTGTAATGAGAAGGGGTGTGGTCTAATGACATCAACACCCTATATCAGGTGTACATAATTATTAGGCAACTTCCTTTCCTTTTGCAAAATGGGTCAAAAGAAGGACTTGACAGGCTC